ATAACTATACATTGTATCCCCCTCCCCTGTGTGTAATACTGAGTGTGTATCAATAACTATACATTGTATTCCCCCCCTCCTGTGTGTAATACTGAGTGTGTATCAATAACTATACATTGTATTCCCCCCCCTGTGTGTAATGCTGAGTGTGTATCAATAACTATACATTGTATCCCCCCCCCTGTGTGTAATACTGAGTGTGTATCAATAACTATACATTGTATTCCCCCTCCTGTGTGTAATACTGAGTGTGTATCAATAACTATACATTGTATTCCCCCCCCTGTGTGTAATGCTGAGTGTGTATCAATAACTATACATTGTATTCCCCCTCCTGTGTGTAATACTGAGTGTGTATCAATAACTATACATTGTATTCCCCCCCTGTGTGTAATGCTGAGTGTGTATCAATAACTATACATTGTATTCCCCCTCCTGTGTGTAATACTGAGTGTGTATCAATAACTATACATTGTATTCCCCCCCCCCTGTGTGTAATGCTGAGTGTGTATCAATAACTATACATTGTATTCCCCCTCCTGTGTGTAATACTGAGTGTGTATCAATAACTATACATTGTATTCCCCCCCTGTGTGTAATGCTGAGTGTGTATCAATAACTATACATTGTATCCCCCTCCTGTGTGTAATACTGAGTGTGTATCAATAACTATACATTGTATCCCCCCCTGTGTGTAATACTGAGTGTGTATCAATAACTATACATTGTATTCCCCCCCCTGTGTGTAATACTGAGTGTGTATCAATAACTATACATTGTATTCCCCCCCTGTGTGTAATACTGAGTGTGTATCAATAACTATACATTGTATTCCCCCCTGTGTGTAATACTGAGTGTGTATCAATAACTATACATTGTATTCCCCCCCTGTGTGTAATACTGAGTGTGTATCAATAACTATACATTGTATTCCCCCTCCTGTGTGTAATACTGAGTGTGTATCAATAACTATACATTGTATTCCCCCCCTGTGTGTAATACTGAGTGTGTATCAATAACTATACATTGTATTCCCCCTCCTGTGTGTAATACTGAGTGTGTATCAATAACTATACATTGTATTCCCCCTCCTGTGTGTAATACTGAGTGTGTATCAATAACTATACATTGTATTCCCCCTCCTGTGTGTAATGCTGAGTGTGTATCAATAACTATACATTGTATCCCCCTCCTGTGTGTAATACTGAGTGTGTATCAATAACTATACATTGTATTCCCCCTCCTGTGTGTAATGCTGAGTGTGTATCAATAACTATACATTGTATTCCCCCCCTGTGTGTAATGCTGAGTGTGTATCAATAACTATACATTGTATTCCCCTCCTGTGTGTAATACTGAGTGTGTATCAATAACTATACATTGTATTCCCCCTCCTGTGTGTAATGCTGAGTGTGTATCAATAACTATACATTGTATTCCCCCTCCTGTGTGTAATACTGAGTGTGTATCAATAACTATACATTGTATTCCCCCCCCTGTGTGTAATACTGAGTGTGTATCAATAACTATACATTGTATCCCCCTCCTGTGTGTAATGCTGAGTGTGTATCAATAACTATACATTGTATCCCCCTCCTGTGTGTAATACTGAGTGTGTATCAATAACTATACATTGTATTCCCCCCCTGTGTGTAATGCTGAGTGTGTATCAATAACTATACATTGTATCCCCCTGTGTGTAATGCTGAGTGTGTATCAATAACTATACATTGTATTCCCCCCCCTGTGTGTAATACTGAGTGTGTATCAATAACTATACATTGTATCCCCCCCTGTGTGTAATACTGAGTGTGTATCAATAACTATACATTGTATCCCCCTCCTGTGTGTAATACTGAGTGTGTATCAATAACTATACATTGTATTCCCCCCTCCTGTGTGTAATACTGAGTGTGTATCAATAACTATACATTGTATTCCCCCTCCTGTGTGTAATACTGAGTGTGTATCAATAACTATACATTGTATTCCCCCTCCTGTGTGTAATACTGAGTGTGAATCAATAACTATACATTGTATTCCCCCCCTGTGTGTAATGCTGAGTGTGTATCAATAACTATACATTGTATTCCCCCTCCTGTGTGACCCTGAACTAACCAATCAGTGTCCTATCCCCAGGAATGCCTGACACCGCATGCGCAATGTCCTCAGTGCTGGTCACGAACGCTCACACCGCTCGGGCCGAGCCGCCAGTCCTTGTGGACAAAGCACAGGCCTCTTGAGGGAAGTGTGGCAAACCTAGCCACTTGAACTATAACTAGAGACTGTGCCTTTAAGGGTTGCCTACAGGTCTAGGGAGATATGCGCTTTATTGTTATGTATGTGCTTAATGTATTTTCTGCAGTGACTGTAACTATCTGTTTCGCCGAATGCAAATGGCGGTTTGTATGGGGATTCCCGTTCGTTTCACGAACAGCACTTTGGAGGGCCGTTCGTGAACCGAACGCGATACCCCCTAATAGCCCACACACTTAGAGGCGTGTGGCGCTAGTTAACCGATTGCAACAATGTTGCAATCGGTGATTAGAGGCTCTCCTGGGTGGCCGTCGTTCGACTACCGACCATGCGGCGGTCGGCCATCTTGGATCCTTTGTTCCCTCAGCGGGGTTATGTCGTCGAGCGCCTGGTACTAAAAACGGCTACTCGACGGCATGAGCCCCGCTGAACCTCCAGGGCGTTCGGGAGTTTCGGGACATTCGGTATTTTGTTCCCTAAAAGCAATCGGTTCTTTTTATATATTTTATACGAATTGTGTTGTTCGTGCGGCGTTCGGTTATTTTAGCTGGGATCTGAGCGGTAATCTCACGAATGATGCCCTCAGACCCCAGCTATCTACCGAACGTCCATTCGTGTAAATCCACTGTATATTCACCGAGTTATGGATTTTTATGTGAATTGTCGGTTCTGCTGCACGAGGGGATAATCCACTTAACGGTGCATTCTGGGAAGATGATCCCTCTCGTGCAGCGGTGCCTGATGGGAGAAATATGCTGTAATGTAAGTCCCCCATGTAGTCCCCTCTGGGAGTGCCCCTGGGGAGGGACTCAGGAAACCCCTTGCATGGGGACTTGTATAAATTGTCCTGCTGATTAAAAGGTTGTCAGTTGACTCCCAAAACTGTGTCTCGTCCGGTTATTGGGAGGTTGGGGATATTGCCTTGTTGTTTTCAGCGCTTGACTGTGGATTCGTTTCTGAACCAGCGGAATTCGTGGATTTATTATTGGCGTTCCGCTACAGGAAGGTCTTTAATTGGTTTAATTATTTTGCCGTAGCCAACATTAGCAATGACATTTTTTCAGTGCAAAGATAATTCTATTTGAATGTAAAGGAATCTAACCCGTTTCTACGTGTTTGTTTTTGAAGGTCATGACCTTAGTTACTAAGTGCCCCCCCTCATTTCTGTTAAAATCACTCTAAATCAAATATAAAACTTACCTTAAATTCCACTCCCCGTGTAAAGTAACCCCCTTGCTCCAATCAAATACTACTCACAGAGAATCATTTAATTGGATTGTTTCACCAGCTCACAGCACATGTGCGAGCTCTGATCTGGCGAGCAGAGAGAGGAGATTAAAAAATAAAGAAAACAGATTTCAGTAATGAAGGGAGGCAGGGGGAGCGCACTGAGGGAGGGGAAGCGAGGTTCCTCTTGCAGACGCACTGCCTGCAATTAGGAAGCTAATTACGCCCGTTACCAGTATGCAGTGCACGCTGACGGCAGACATACTTTTTGCACAGAATTGACATTTGGCAGTCTGGATTTCCAAGCTGCCAAATTCGTTTAAGCCAGGGGTGCAAATGGGCAGAGTATATGCAGCGTTTCCACCTGAAATGCTGCACATACAGACTCCCTCCACCATGACCACTTCTAACAGCAGAAGTGGTCATGGTGGTTGGAGTAATCCTTTAATTTTACCTGTTTTTTAACTGGAGCCGCACGCGCATTCAAACCGCTCATAGGATAGCATTACTCAATGCTTTCCTATGGACGTTCAGCGTGCTCAATGCGACTGACAGCCACTAGAGGCTGGATTAACCCTGCCTAACAGAACTGTTACAACGCTTGAT